CAATTCTGAAATATTTCAATGTAGTTAACATGTTTTACTCATTCCTCATTTCAATCTTTCCCCGAAAATGCCTTCTCTAATTTTTTTCATTTTTTTCTAACTTTTTTTCTATCGCTGACTCGAAGGACTTCGGGTGCGACTTGCCCTTTATTTTAACCAATTTTGTCTGATGACGACTCCTAGTTTGCTATTACGCGACTCTTTCCATTATTATGCGCAATTGGATCATTGGGGATTGACTCTTGTCGAGGTCCTCCCTTTGTTGTACGTATCCTACATGAATAGATGTGGTGGGTTCAATGGCGCCGATGCTTTGATTCGTGGTGATAGGTATGATTTAGAGTTGTGGATTCATTTAGGGTTTTAATTTTTTAGGTTATGTGAGCTTGGATTATGGGTGTTTTTAGTTGTTAGTTTAGTCTCTTGGAGTTGTTGTTATTACAGTAATATGTAAACCATCTCTATTACGGAAAATTAGTTGATTAGACTAGACACTCTTGATAGAAGTGGCATACGACATGGGTTCGAAATGTCTACCACCTCACTCCTCAAGCATTGAATTTTTTTTTTTTTCTATACTTTGGCCAAAGAAAAACCCAATATTAAAATCATTTCTATTGTCAGATTCGCGTCTCAGATTCAAATTTTATTACCTTTTCTTTAGTGCATGTAAATTAAAGTAGAATATCACTTGTATTAAAAAAAAAAATATATATCACATATTACTCTTTTATCACTTGTGGTGTCGGTAAGATTGACAAAATTGGCATATGACATGGATATGAGATGTCACTGAAGAAGTTGAGGTTCCATCATAAAATCAATTAATAGTATGGAAAATAGCCCAACTACTTATAAGTACATGCAATATCTCTCCTCTCATCATTGTGGGATTCATTCTCAACACGCCCCCTCATGTATGGTGAATTTTAAAGTCTAACACGTTGACAACACAACTTGGGTGACGTGGGCACTTGTGGCCATTGGGCTTCACACATTGACATCATGCTCTAATACCATAAAGAAGTTGAGGTTCCACCATAAAACCAATTGGCAATATGAAAAATTGACAACTAGTTATAAACACATGCAAAATCCCTCATCTCATCAATATGAGATTCATTCTCAACAGTCACCACCTCAGTCACCACCTTAGTCCTTAAGCCTTGTAAAACTATTAGTCCCTAATTACAACAGAACTACCCCTAATTCAAGAAGTTATTTATTTTTGCGTGATTTAACATTATTTTTGCAAATGCACTGAATTATTTTGTTCAAATTATTGCAAACAACATTAAAAGTAAAGAGATATATTGCACACTTAATCTCCACTAACTACCCATTTGTTGAATTTGTGTGCCACACATGATAGAGATGCTTTCACAACGTTTCACTATGGTTATGTAGTTCATACTTTAGTTTCACTCCTTTCGAGAAGAATGTCAAAAAACATAAGCTGAGGAGGTTGAACCTCCTGAGTAAAGGATATGGACCGTTAAAATTTGATCCAATGGTTACAAACAAGGAGCCTTTCTAAAAGTTATAATAATTGCAGTCGTTGAATCAAATTTCAACAATTCATATCCTTTGCTCAAGAGGTTCAGCCTCCTAAGCTCGGAAAGGGATCCAGATCCTTTTTTGTACATGCCAAATTACTTTTAAGACAATTGATTAAATATTAAAACCTAGTACACGTTTATGGATGGTAAATTAATAATGAACAATACTTGACTACTCAAAGATTAGTGGGAACTTCTACTAAAAAATTTCAAAATTGTTCGTTGTCAATTTATAGAATTTCATGTTTATAATCAGAACCATTCATATTATAAATCATCATATAAAGATCACCTCTGAAAAAATATCAATTAAAACTAAGGTATTAATCATCAAATTGTTTAAAAACAAATGAATGGTATTGGTAAAAATATTAAGAACCGTTTATGTACTTGCTATAATAGATTGACTAAACGACTTTAGTTTTAATTTATTTTTTGCATATATGATTTTTACAGTGTGATTCATAGTATGAACGATTTTGATCATAAACACAAAGCTCTATGATTAAAATATTAAGAGTTTTGAGTAGAAGTTCTTACCCATCTTTAAGTAGTTAAGTATTATTCTTAATTAATTGACAAGTTAAGCTTTTGCTTTTCCTCTCTATTGCTTTGCTATCAACTTTTTCCTGTCGATGCCTTTTACTATGCAAAATAAAGACTTTTTATTTTTCCTTTCATCTTCATAATGTGTTATTATCATATTCACAAATCTGAATCAGAATTCTTTTTAAATTTTCTTTGTGAGGATTCTAGAGATATTTCAATCACACTCGTTTATCATTCATAATATAGTCAATCTTCATCAGGTACTGTTTATATTTAATTTTAAATAAAATAATTTCAGATTGCTTGATCTACGATGAACAATTGTGATTAGAGAATTCTTAGGTTCCTCCGAAGAGGATCCTCATTCCACAAATCTCTGCAATCCGTCAAAACACAGTGCTCATAGTCCTGATTCCATTATTAATTTATAAAGGTAACTCCCAGTTCAATGTATTATGCAGCAGAACCATTACCTGGACCACACTAATATTTTAAAAATTCAAAAAGAAATTAAAATAATATAAAAATAAAATAAAAAAAAAAGCAAAAATGGCAATGCATGTGGTGCATGCATGTCCAGAAGCAAGCAATGAAGTTAATCAAATAATTTCTTGAGATCCTCTTGTTGAAGTAAATCGCTGGTATTTCATGTTTTTTCTAATGCTTGCAATGATGTATGTTTTTTATTTTATTTTTGTTACGTCACCCTGTTTCATCACTACGATGAGATCACAATGGGTAAGCAACTCAGGTCAGATTGCAAACTTCAAGATTTCAACCTTTGGAGACAAAGCGTGTCCTGGTTCAAAGGGGTTGCGAACCTTCCACTACATCTGGTGTAAATGAGTAATACAAGAGATATTAAATATGTAAATAAAATTATGTAAATTAAATAACAAATAAGTTAATGATTGGATTATTACTTAAATATTGATAAATGTACTTATTTTTATTAATGACATATTATTTAATTTGTAAATTTTAGGTTAAATTACCTTTTCATACCTCAGATTTGGGGTCTATTTTAATTCCTTACAACATCTTTAAAACATTCACTTTCATACCTTAAGTACTATTTTATTTCAAAATAATACATCTGTTACATTTTCCATCCATTAATCTGTTAAATACTGACATGGTTGTCACATATATGCCACGTGGCTGCCAAATGTCTGCCACGTGGCAAACGAAATATTTTTTAATTTTTTTTTAAAAAACCTCAATTTTCTCAAAAAAATGAAAAAAAATTGAAAGCAGTGCCTTCCCCCCCCCCCCCCCAAAAGCGACCCTAACCCAAAACCCAAAAACCTGCAAGAAGAAGAAGAAGAGGGACAAAAAAATAAAAAAAAAGCCCCAGTTCGTCCCATCCCGAGCCACCCCTTTTTCCCATCCCCCATCACCCACAAAAATTCCACTAGAGATTAGGTGGATCTACCACAAAACCAGTCCAAAAATCATTTCAAACTCAAAGTATTTTCAAAACTCACCCATATTGACCCGAGGGGGGCGTGGAAGGGGGGAAGGTCACGCGGCGCCGCCCCGGAGGGTGGGGGGGGGGGGGGGGAGGTGGGTCACGGGGGGTAGGTCGCGCGGCGCCGGGGGGGGGGGGGGTGTGGGGTGGGCGAAGGAGGTGTGTCGCGGGGTGGGGAGGTTGCATGGCGCTGGGGATTTTCAGGTTTTTTAAAAAAAATAAAAAAATTATTTTATTTGCCACATGGCAGACATTTGGTAGCCATATCAACATTTAACAGATCAATGGATAAAAAATGTAACGGAGGTATTATTTTGAAATAAAATAGTATTTAAGGTATGAAAGTGAAATGTTTTGAAGATGTTGTAAGAAATTGAAAGACCCCAAATTTGAGGTATGAAAGTGTAATTTACCCTCTTTTTTGTTTTTTCTTTTTTTGAGAAAATTTAGGTTTTTAAAAAAAAATTAAAAAATTATTTTATTTGCCAGGTGGCAGACATTTGGCAGCCACGTGACATATATGTGGCAGCCACGTCAGCATTTAACAAATCAATAGATGGAAAATGTAACGGAGGTATTGTTTTGAAATAAAATAGTACTTAAGGTATGAAAGTGAAATGTTTTGAAGATGTAAGAAATTGAAATAGACCCCAAACTTGATGTATGAAAGTGTAATTTACCCTAAATTTTATCTACAAATTTAGTCTTTTTAGCATTACCTGGGATAAATATACAATGAGAAGTTCTCGGATGAGTAACCATAATGCTGTTTACAATCTATATATATATATATACACACACACACACAGTAATCATAGAGATAAAATTGTCATGAAAAAATTATTCATGTTAAGTAAATATAACGAGAACTGCAATCCTTGCATTTTATAATTATGGGATATTTAGATGATCAATGCACACAATGCTCCGAACTAAGTAGAATCATGAGAAAAGCAAATGTAATTGAACTCCCAACCAAGAGTGCTTATTTACCATCATCTAGACAAGACACTTTACAGGTATGGACACAAAGATCAGACTCCACTCAAAGTTTTTTAAGATTAATGTTCATACAAATGGGTTTGATACATTTTCAGTTTTTGTATAAAGAAAGTTTGATAATTTGGTACTAAAGTAAACATCCGGCAAAAGAATATATTGTAGAAATATTGCAATATACTACCATAAAAGCTTCATTTCTACTTAATATTTAGTCATTATATATTGTAGACGTGAGTTAAATTAGTTGACTAAAATAGTGTGTTTGCTATCGTCTTATATTCAATATTATATCATATTTATTAAAAAGAAAACGTCTTACAAAAGCAATTGACCCATAAGAATACGCCTTGTTAGTTACTACTTTGGTCAGATAATAATAAAAAATAAATAAAAAAAGCAACTACTTTGGGTCGGTGTGAAATCCCCCACCTATGTATATATAATGAGTGAGTGGCTTGAATTTTATAGCAATTGGAGGAAAATGGCAGACTTGGAAGAGGTGGTTGTTGAAGCAAATTGCAGGGAAGAAATAAATAGGCATAGCCATTCCTTAAAAAGCTTGTTCAGAAGCTCATCAGGTTACTCTGCTCAAGTCATTCCCATCACAACTACTCCCCCAAATGAATCAACTGAAATATGGACAGGTGGTGAGCTCATTCCACAGGATGCTTGGCTGCCCATCACAGAATCCAGGAATGGGAATGTGTTTTCAGCTATCTTTCATTTACTTTGCTCAGGAATTGGGATCCAATCCCTTTTACTGCCTCTTGCATTTGCCACTCTTGAATGGTAAGTAATATCTTCTATTTTTTAACTCTAGCTATCTTAAAACTCATAAATTTGACTCATGGATTTGGATTTGAGGGATGCATATTTTTATAGCACTCACTTTGTAATGTATTTCAACGATTCAATTGTCTATGTTTTATGTCTTTCCTCACATATCATCTCTACCAAAAATTACTCAACTTAGAAGTCATATGATAGTTGAATTAAATTTAGTGTTTATTTGTAGAGTCATATTCTTCCATTTTTCACTGCAAATGAATATTGTCCTAATAGTTTTGAATTAATTTGTTGGAAAAATGATTAATGAGGTGAATTGATATATTAGACGCTTCGGATTCTCTTAAAAAAAATTTATTTTTGTAGAGTCATATTCTTCCATCTTTCAAGTCAACTTATTACGTGTTCTTCTTCTTCTTTTGCCTAACAATTTATTTTTGTTCATTTTTAAATTCTTGTGAGATATGTATTCTCACAAAACAAATATAATATTTATTAAATAATATATTTTATTGAAATGATTATTGTTTATCGTAAACAAGGTACAAAAAAAAAAAAAAATTCGACGAAAATTCTCTCTCAAAATCCAAATACAAAGTTAAGCACAAATAATAAAATATGGACTAGGCAAGCAACAAAATAAAGGGCTCAAATCAGAACAGATCCCAAGAAGCCTAACTATTCCCCTGGCGGAAGAACCGCCGTCGTCGCCATCAGCAACAAAGGAAGAGACAAATAACAAGCCTGGATAAGAGATCTGTAGAGAATGGGATTGGAGCTTCGAACTCGAGCCAACATGCGTCATTCTCAATCGATTAGAGAAAAGGGCAAAATTGACCTTTGATCCACACGACTGACCACTGTAGACCCGATGTCCACAAGTGTGGTAGGGGTGGGATGAACACCATCGGCAATCAGAGGTAAAGAAGGAACAGAAATTGAAAAATCTAAGGCATGAGGACTTAGGGATGAAAGAAGTGGAAGAGGCAAAATAGGTGGTGGGGGGTCAGAGAAGAAAGAGACAGGGAGGGTATGGCAAGGATGGAGGACCATGGGAATCGATAGAACGAGAGAGGGAAAGGGAAAACAAAAACATGGAAAAAAAATCACAAATTAGGCATATATAACGCCCAAATTTGAGACACTCACTTAGAACTACCAAGGTGAGAGCTCAAAAAACAAACATAAAAACCAAAGATAAGGGGTTGCTACTGACCCCAACCAACGTCATGGGTTACGGCAGCGAAGCTCTAATTGGTCCTTTTTTTTTTTTTTTTTTTTATGAGTTTTAACAAAACGTACTGTTCGTTTTTAACGATAAGAATATTTTTACTCTAAAAACTTATTCTTGGTACTATTTATTTTTAATACATTTTTGCTATTTTGGTTAAAATTCAAAGTTTTCAAACCTGTTTATTAGTTTTCATTTTTTTTATTTTTTATTCTTCTTTTACAACCATTAACTTATAATTTCAAACATAAATTACTCCATTCCTCAAAAATGGGGACCAATAATTTACAAGGTGATTGAGGTCTAATTCCACGAAGAATCGCCTCTTGTGTGTCTCTTAAAATTTACCAGACTTTATTTAGGTAATTAGTGCCCCATGCGAGCCCTGTCTGTCCCTACATTCTTGGACCTAGTTTAGGCTTGATCATACAGTAGTCTGAATAAAAATATCTCAATAATTTCCAATATAAAATATTCTCACGAGCTCAGCATCTGACTCCGATGGAAACTTCTTGTGCAATAACAAGGTGCCAACCAATTTTGATAGGGAATATCACCCTATTGAGTTTGTACAATAAGATATTAGGGATCCACATGAGTCGAGCCAAACCAACTATCAAAGTGTTCAAATTCGGCTCACAGTTGATATTATTTGTGCTCAAGCTTGTAAAAAGCTCTTAATGTATGCTCAAGCTCGCCTCGAATGACTTTCAAGCTTAACTCAACTCGGCTTGACTTGTTTGAAAATTGAACTTAAATTTTTGTTTGACTCAGCTTAATGAAAATTAAAAATTAATATGAATCAATAAATAAAGTACATAATAACAAAACAGTAGGTAAAGATTGTTAGAATATAATGTTGTGTAGAAAAGAGACATTGTCATTTGTAATTAGATTAGATGGTTTGTTAGGAAGTCTGTTAGAGTGACATACACTTGTAACCACTTCATCATTAAGTAAAACAATACAGAAATCTCTTTTCCCTTGTTACTTCTCTCTTGTTCTCTGCCCCACACACACACACACTCTCTCTCTCTCTCTCTCTCTCTCTCTCTACTCTCTATTTCTTCATATTAATTAACAAAGATTACATGAAAAAACAAAAACAAAAAACAAAAAACTACAAGCTAAATACTTTGAAATGGTTTGGCTGATTAAAATAAATAAATAAATAAAATGAGCCGGTCCGAGCTTTATTAGGCAATTATACCAAAGCTCGATCTTGACGCATTTTTTAACGACAGTATATATTTTGTTGTAGCAAGTCTAATATTTTATTCAAACTCACTGTAATATTTTTATTATAACAAGTTTAATACTTTGCTCAACATGTTTCCAATTGTTGCAGGGCATGGGGAATTATATGCTTGTCACTAGCATTCGCATGGCAACTCTACACCGCATGGCTTCTTGTACATCTACACGAATCGGACACCGGAATTCGGTACAGTAGATACCTCCACCTCGCTATAACAGCCTTCGGTTAGTCCAAATGAGCGCTTCTTCTTCCATACCAAACAGCATCCCGTAATGCCTAGTAGGGTATTAACTAGACATTTTATTTTGTTTTTTCAGGTCCAAAGTTAGGGAAACTGCTCACTATATTCCCAGTAATGTACCTATCAGGGGGTACATGTGCCCAGGTGATCATCATAGGAGGTGGAACCATGAAGCTTTTCTTAAAAGCTGTTTGTGATGTTAACTCAGTGACTGGCACAGAGTGCTTCTTGTTGTTCGTATGCATGGCCATTGTTGTGGCTCAGTTTCCCAACTTGAACTCCATAGCTTGGGTCTCACTGATTGGTGCCACCACTGCGATTGCCTACTGTACCCTGATTTGGGGCCTTTCAATCGGCAAGGGCAGGCCTAGTGGCATTTCATACAACCCACCGGAGATGGAGTCAAACATGGATAGATTTGGTGGTGTACTGAACTCAGTTGGCATCATTTTTCTTGCATTCAAAGGTCATAATGTTATCCTTGAGATTCAGGTGAGTGTTCTTACTATCTTTTATTTTCTGAAAGTATAACTTTAACCCCTAAAACTTAATTTTCTTTACATAAAACCCGACATAGGTTTTTTACTCGAATAAAACCCATTTACTAGATTCCACATCAGCAAATTCATTAATTATATTTGACTTAACACATTTAAAATTTTCTGGATGCCTAAAATACCCATATTTGAATGTTTGATGTACACAATTAATGTCATGCGAATTATAAGGCAGAATTAATGATTTTACTAAAAAAAACATTAATGTTATAAATTCATTGCCTGATATATAATAACAATATCGAACATGTCTAATATATATACATGCTTAATTAAGTCACTAAAATTATATTTTACATATTAATGTAGGTAAATTATTTCACACACATATATACAAAATGCCTGATGTATGTAAAAATTCATGCAAAATAATTTACCTAAAAAAATAATGTTATTTGATTCAAATAGTGCACCTACTATTAAAATTTTAAAATGTTAAATTGCTCAAAATAATTTACCCTATCTATGTAAAATACATGAAAAATAATTTACCTACATAATAAACAAACCCAATATATGCAAAATACATGCAAAATAATTTACCTACACAATAAAGAAATATTATTTTATTTAATACTAATTTACCTACAAAATATATTATTTACTAATCATAAATTTACATATAGGTAATTATTAATTACTTATAATAATTTTTAATATATATTGTCATATCCCGGCCCAGACGGGATGACTTCCCGGGCCCGCTTCCACTACCGTAGCACGATATTGTCCGCTTTGGGCTTACCATTCCCTCACGGTTTTGTTTTTGGGAACTCACGAGCAACTTCCCAGAGGATCACCCATCTTGGGAGTGCTCTAGCCCTCTTCTCGCTTAACTTCGGGGTTCCTACGGAACCCGAAGCCAGTGAGCTCCCAAAAGGCCTCGTGCTAGGTAGGATGAGAATATACATTTAAGGATCAGTCCCCTGGGCGATGTGGGATGTCACATATATGTTAGTGCTGCGCATATATATATATATATATATATATATATATTTGAAAGTATAGTAGTACTATATACATATAGGTAAATTACATATATATATATATATATATATTGAACTTTTAGTAGTACGATATACTATTGAATGTATGGATATTTATAGTAGTATTGTATACTTTTGAATGCATTTATAAAAAGTAGTACGATATACTTTGGAACGTATGTATATTTACAGTAGTACCATATTCTTTTGAACGTGTGTGTGTGTATATATATATATATATATTTGTTCATTATAATTAAGGTAAGAAATAATATTTATTCAATTGATTGCGGCACAAGTTGTAAACATCTTGTAATAATATGTCAATTAATTTTCTATTTGGCAGTTTTTTTTCAAATTTAAGTTTTATTTGGATGTTTAAAAATTAGGTGAATTTTTATTTAGAAAATAAGAATTGCAAAAATCTATATCTAAAGAACCCTTTTATTTTTTACCTCCCAATGTGGCTTGTGAGTGGAGTTGTCAAATTGGCAGGTTAGTCCAAGCACAGAACAAACACGACCTGTTCAAATTAGGCACCGCCTAGTCCAAGCATGCTTTAGACACAACCCAAGCCCAAGTGAGCCAACTTTAAATCTAAATATGCTGGGTCGGCCCATCCAATTTATTAAGTGATTCGGCCCGATCACAGCCGAAGGTCACGTAAGCCTACTTAAATGAGCTCGGCTGAGGGGCGCTATGCTGGCTCGTTTGACACCTCTAACTTGTCTAGTGGGTAGAAATGGTTTAAATTTTGTTAGGCTTTTTTAATGGGTAATGGTTTTTTTTTTTTTTTTTTGAGTTTTAACGAAAAGCCCACTGTACTGTTCATTTTAACGAAAAACCATATTTTTACACTAAAAAGTCACTCAAACCCTTTTCATTAGTTTTCCTTTTTTTTTTTGGGAACTTTAACGAAAAATTTCTGGTACTGTTCACTTTAACGAAAAATTACATTTTTACACTAAAAAGTCAATTATGGTACTATTTATTCGCTTTACCTTTTATTTTGTTCTTATAGTTAAAACTCAAAGTTTTCAAGCCCTTTTCATTAGTTTTCTTTTTTTTTTTTTGTTTTTTTTTTCAGCACAACAATATATTTTACATTAGAGGGGAGGAAGGAGTTCGATTAAGCCATACAATAAGCAACCTAATTGGGTATCGAATTTGTTAACGGGTAATTCTAGTGAGACTAAATTTGTAGACAAAATTGGCAAACTAAGGGGTAATGCTAGGGAGACTAAATTTATAAACAAATTTTGTAAACTAAATGAGGTGTCACCAATATGAATGAGCATGTTTATCAACGCTTAAGTAATAATCCAATCATCAACTTCTATGTCATTTAGTTTACAAAATTGTCTACAAATTTAATCTTCCTAGCATTACCCCAAATTAAATGATGTGTCATCAATATGAATGATCACGATTATTAATGCTTAAATAATAATCCAATCATCAACTTTCATATTATTTAGTTTACAAATTTTTTTCTACAAATTTATTATCTCTGGCATTACCCTTTTTTAATAGTGTTGGTTGAATTTTAAAGATGCACTGTGTCTAGTATAATTATATTTTAATAGATGAGTTAGAATTTAGTCATGTTAAGAGTTCGATTTTCTCTGTTGTTATCAATAAAAATTGTAGTATGATTTTGTTTAACACATGATTAAGGCTAAAAATTTCCTCATGCAGGGGACATTGCCATCTAGTCCAAAACAGAGATCTCAAAACCGGATGTGGAGAGGAGTGACTATATCTTATGCACTTATAGCAATGTGCTTCCTTCCTCTTGCCGTAGCTGGATTTTGGGTTTGTGGAAACAAAGTGAGAGACCCTTTCCAAATTATTTCAACCAAACTGTGAAAAATATATCAAACTGGGGATAATCAGAGATTTACAATGTCTTTTGAATACTCATGCAGATACCATCTTCATATGGAGGACTATTGACCTCTTTTTCACAGTTCAATGGGCATAAAAACACTTCAAAAGCTGTGTTGGGACTACTTTGCATACTAGTAGTGATAAACTGCTTGAGCACTTTCCAAATCTACAGCATGGTAGTTTTTGATAATTTGGAGTTTAAGTACACAAGCAAGAAGAACAAGCCATGTGCAAGGTGGCTTCGGATAGCTTTTCGGATTTTCTTCGGAGGACTGGCATTTTTCATAGCAGTTGCTTTCCCATTCTTGCCGAGCCTAGCACCTCTAATCGGAGGCATGACACTCCCACTGGCATATGTTTATCCGTGTTTCATGTGGATAACAATGAAGAAACCAGAGCCTAAGAGTACTATGTGGTGTGTGAACATTGGACTTGGATTCTTGGGGCTGAGTTTGAGTGTTGTTTTAGTCATTGCATCAGTTTGGAATTTAGCCGACAAAGGTTTACATGCCAATTTCTTCAGGCCTTAAATAACTATTAGTTATATATTTACATGCCAATTTTTCTGATTCTAAAGGAGATGCTAAAATCCTACATGGATTGACATTTTTCACTTTGCTGTCAAATTTGAAGGCAACATCAAAAGTTTTCTTTTTGTTCTGATTGACGTCATCAATATTGAACAGAACTCTTTGCTTGTTTCCCAAGTGCTCATGGAAATTAGTACCATTTTCATTTTGCATAAACAAATGTAAAAAGACAACAAGAACTCTAATACGTTATGCGTAGCACCTTGATGTAAAAAAAAAAGAAGATATTTTGCACGCGCATGAACGTGTGCAAAAGCTAGTATAGTTGGTATATATTTGAGGTAAAAGTCAAAAGGACTAAAATTAGTGAATGATCTTTTCAAGGACAAAGTAAAGTTTTCTAATTTTTTATTGCCCAAACGCTAGTGACAACTAGGCTTGGCAAACGGGTCGTGTCTATCGTGTTCGTGTCGTTTTCGTGTAACACCTGTTATCTTAACGGGTCGTGTCGTGTCACACCCGTTATCTTAACGGGTCCTTAACAGGTCGTGTCACTTTACCCAACGGGTAAAGTGACCCAACCCATTATGACCCGTTATGACCCGTTAAGAAAAAAATATATTTTTTTTAAATTTGCACATATCACATATTGCCACGTAAATATTACTTCAAAACATTAAAACATTTCTCGTTCAAGTACTATATCTACACTCAAAAATAAAAGCCTAATAAAAAAATAATACATACACTACTAATCTATTACAAATATTAAATGTGCAAGGATAAAGAGTTTTTGTTTTTAAGATTGTAAGTCTTTCTCAAAAGTTTACACCTTCATTTACAAAATCTTCAATTTACATCGATCATCATGAAATTGTATTAGAACTTTGGCTTGATTTATTGCCTTCAAGAGTAATGTTGAAGATGTTTTCAGTAAGGTTTTCCACGTCAGAACTCTCTTCCGCATAAACAAAGTATAGAAAAACCAAACATTAAAAATCATTCAAATTATGAAAAGTTAAACAAAATAATTATAAAAAGAAATAAAATAATAATACTATACCATATAATAATACTTTTTAGGGATATAAAATTATTAAATTAATGTATATAATTATTAATATTATAGTTGATTCATACTTTTATTAAGTATATAAATTATAACATAAGATTTTGTGATATCCACATCCACTAGTGTAAATATTTTAAATTGAAGATCGAATTCATTCATTGTATTCATATAGGATCAAAGAGTGTAGTTATAAAAAAATCATCAAAATCAGAGTTAAAATAACCATTAAATCGTGATTTTTCGTTTATAACCGTTGAAAAGCTTTGTCCCGTTACTTGATCTCTAAATTTTTTTTTTTTTGTGATTTTTTGCTGATGTGATCTCCAAGCATATACAAACAATTTTGACGGTTTGGATCGTTGAAATTAGTTTTGGAGAATTCGTAAAACGATAGATTGACTAACACTTAGAGTTTATTTATAATTTCATTAAGTATAACATAAGATTTTGTGGTATCCACTTGTGTAAATATTTTAAATTGAAGATCGAATTCATTCATTGTATTCATATAGGGTCAAGGAGTGTAGTTATAAAAAATCATCAAAATCGGAGTTAAAATAACCGTTAAATCGTGATTTTTCGTTTATAACCGTTGAAAAGCTTTGTCCCGTTACTTGATCTCTGAATGTTTTTTTTTTTTTTTGTGATTTTTTGCTGATGTGATCTCCAAGCATATACAAACAATTTTGACGGTTTGGATCGTTGAAATTAGTTTTGGAGAATTCGTAAAACGATAGATTGACTAACACTTAGAGTTTATTTATAATTTCATTAAGTATAACATAAGATTTTGTGGTATCCACTTGTGTAAATATTTTAAATTCAAGATCGAATTCATTCATTGTATTCATATAGGGTCAATGAGTGTAGTTATAAAAACTCATCAAAATCGGAGTTAAAATAACCGTTAAATCGTGATTTTTCGTTTATAACCGTTGAAAAGCTTTGTCCCGTTACTTGATCTCTAAATGTTTTTTTTTTGTGATTTTTTGCTGATGTGATCTCCAAGCATATACAAACAATTTTGACGTTTGGATCGTTGAAATTAGTTTTGGAGAATTCGTAAAACGATAGATTGACTAACACTTAGAGTTTATTTATAATTTCATTAAGTATAACATAAGATTTTGTGGTATCCACTTGTGTAAATATTTTAAATTGAAGATCGAATTCATTCATTGTATTCATATAGGGTCAAGGAGTGTAGTTATAAAAAATCATCAAAATCGGAGTTAAAATAACCGTTAAATCGTGATTTTTCGTTTATAACCGTTGAAAAGCTTTGTCCCGTTACTTGATCTCTGAACATTTTTTTTTGTGATTTTTTGCTGATGTGATCTCCAAGCATATACAAACAATTTTGACGGTTTGGATCGTTGAAATTAGTTTTGGAGAATTCGTAAAACGATAGATTGACTAACACTTAGAGTTTATTTATAATTTCATTAAGTATAACATAAGATTTTGTGGTATCCACTTGTGTAAATATTTTAAATTGAAGATCGAATTCATTCATTGTATTCATATAGGGTCAAGGAGTGTAGTTATAAAAAATCATCAAAATCGGAGTTAAAATAACCGTTAAATCGTGATTTTTCGTTTATAACCGTTGAAAAGCTTTGTCCCGTTACTTGATCTCTGAACATTTTTTTTTTGTGATTTTTTGCTGATGTGATCTCCAAGCATATACAAACAATTTTGACGGTTTGGATTGTTGAAATTAGTTTTGGAGAATTCGTAAAACGATAGATTGACTAACACTTAGAGTTTATTTATAATTTCATTAAGTATAACATAAGATTTTGTGGTATCCACTTGTGTAAATATTTTAAATTGAAGATCGAATTCATTCATTGTATTCATATAGGGTCAAGGAGTGTAGTTATAAAAAATCATCAAAATCGGAGTTAAAATAACCGTTAAATCGTGATTTTTCGTTTATAACCGTTGAAAAGCTTTGTCCCGTTACTTGATCTCTGAATGTTTTTTTTTTTTTTTGTGATTTTTTGCTGATGTGATCTCCAAGCATATACAAACAATTTTGACGGTTTGGATCGTTGAAATTAGTTTTGGAGAATTCGTAAAACGATAGATTGACTAACACTTAGAGTTTATTTATAATTTCATTAAGTATAACACAGGAAACAATGAATCACTTGCAGCCAATCGAATTGGGAGAAAAGAATAGAGGTGGAAGGGCAGTGAGGATGGGGAAAGTGGAAAACAAAGTGGGGGTGGGGAATCGGGAAAAAAGGTGAATGTATTTGGAAGTTAGGGTTAATTGGGGACAAATGGTCCTTCTTATGTTGTTTTTTTTTTAATGCCCAAAACCTGGGCTGTTTTTCATCTTTTTGTCAAACTTAGGCTCTTGCCTTCCAGCCTCTATTTGGGCTTTGGACAATTTTTATTTTATTTTTTTATATACCTAATCATTTGGATTCTTTTTTTGTGCCCCTTTCAATTTTGAGCCTTGGAAAGCCACCCTGGTGGCACTGGGCCTGGGCTGGGCTTGCCTTACATGAAGCTATTTGGGAATGCTTCTAGTTAAGAGCAGTTATGATCCATATTTGAAGATCATGCGATCCTTACCCCGTTGTTGACATCCGGACAACGATTTATAATGATAACGCAACATGCATTGAACTACTCAAGAAGGGTTACATCGAAGGAGACAACACCAAGCACATTGCGCCAAAGTTGTTATTCTCACATCAATAGCAAAAGCAATAGAAAATTGAAGTCATGAAAATCCGTTCACAAGACAACCTAGCGGACCTCTTCACGAAGTCACTACTGAAGGCGATGTTTCAGAAGCTTGTTCAAGAAATAGGCATACGTAAACTTTCTGAGTTATAACATTGTTAGTTATCTTTTGAGTTATGTCAAACTCAGAGGAAGCATCCTGAAGTATACTTTCTTGATCTTATTGTACTCTTTTACCTTACGTTTCGGAGCATTTTCCCTACTGGGTTTTAGCTACCTAACGAGGTTTTGGCTAGGCACCCACCTTGGGTTGATCATATCTTTGATGACGTCCCGTAGACGTTTTATTTGACTTTGCATTACTCACGTATTTTTCGTTGACTATGGGTTTTGTCCCTATTCGGGTTTTACCATAGCCATTGGGTTTTTTCTAAGACTTAGTTCCATATGCAAGTTCCTACTACTTTGAGACTAGCGTGTTCCCATAATTAGTGTCGACGAGTCGACTTCCTCAACTCTATATGATGGCGAATCTACTGAGTATTTACACACTTAAATGGGAGTGTTATAAAGATTATATTAAAGTGTGATTGTGTAAATCCTAGATTAGATTTGATACTTGTTTTTCTTTCCTATTAGAACTTGTATTCCTTGAAAGAGAAGGTTCTTTCCTTCCTTATTACTATAAATAAAGGTACTGCTTAGGGAGAATAAAACATTCTTTACACAACCCTACAAACACATCTTCCTACTGTGCCACCTCTCTCCCTTCTCAGATTAAATAAGCCACAACAATAGGAGTAATTAGAATCCCTAACAATTTTTTTAACTTATTTAGACTAAACCTGTGTTAGTTTAAAAAGTTTGATTAAGATGTTTTGTTTATATATATATATATATATCATTCTTTTCTTAAAAGCATGCACGAAATAGAAAACTCGGGGGTAGTGAAGGGATTTGAACCCACAACTTCGCATGAAACTAAACAAAGAAACACCTGTTCTACTAAGAGCAAACTTTGTTATTTTAGTGCACAAAAACAATATATATTTGATTTAAGAAAATTAGTCGTACAAAGGTATGAGGATAAAATAAAAGGATTTTGTTATCTGTGAGATTCGAGTCGACAGAGATGAAAGATAAGTAGTGCTTCACCGGATTTATGGCGTTGTGCTTTCCATTGACACAAAAACTTCTCGCGTTGATAACATTTTATGAAATTGAGGACAGAGGTTCAACAAGTGTGCCTACATCCTCGGGGCAGCATTAGTAGTTTCTTTCATTATTGGAAATAATAGGAGTACAAAATAACTCTCACTATTTTCTCTCTTCTCTCTAGCCTAGCTCACTGATATTTTCTTCTACATCTCTCTTCTTTCTTTTCTTTATTTCTATCTCTTCTTTCTTTTCTCTCTTCCTTTCGTTTCCTCCGTATGTTTTTCACCTCACTTCTTACCCTTATTATTCAATCTTCTATAGGCAAAAGTCAGGACACAACAAACCCTAAATATGGGTTATTTTAATACATTAATGGGAACTAAAATCATCAAGTGAATAGTAAACTTTAATCATCTTTCGAGGTCTTCTTTCATATTGCTTTTTTAGTGAGCATTCACACTGCTTTTATAACAAGCAAAAGCCAATTTGACAGCCTCATTTGGGTCGAAACTAGAAAGTTACATATGCATAGTTGAATACATATATGTAAGAAATTGTATGTTTGTCAGTCAACACAACCTTAGCTCTTAGTTTAATTTCCCAACATCTTTCAATGGTTGTATTACATTGCAAGGCATGGGGAATCATTGCTTGTCACTGGCATTTAAATGGCAGCTCTACCGATATGGTTGCTTGTACAGCACAAATTTGGAACTCGTTGTAGTATATGTACATTGACCTCGCAATGACGGCCTTCAGTTAGTAATAACACAAATGGAGCGCATACTTGTATTTATACAGATTATTCATATTTCATATTATATAATGCACTAAATACCTATGATTTTTGTTTTTTTAGGTCAAAAGCTAGGGAAGGTTTTAGCACTAGTCCCAGTAATTTACCTATAAGCTGGTACATGTGTCCAGCTAATTATCATAGGAGGTGGAACCATAAAGCTTTTCATCAAAACGGTGTGCAACGATGTGGTAAACTGTGATGCCAAGTCATTGACTAATGTAGAGTGCTTCTTGTTCCAAGTCATTGACTAATGTAGAGTGCTTCTTGTTGCTCATGTGCATGGCTATTGTTCCCAACCTCAACTACATAGCTTGGGTCTCATTGATTGGTGCTACCACAGCTATTGCATATTGTACTTTGATTTGGGCTGGCAGGCCTGGTAGCCTTTCATGCAACCCACCGGAGATGGACGACAAACTGGATAGGTTTTTTTTTTTATAGGATTCTGAATGCTTTTGGCATCATTGTTCTCCCATTCATAGGCCACAATGTTTTCTTGGACATGATGTCTGTTTTAAAGTACTGTCAATATACCATCAATAACATTGGTAGATAACATTTCAATAACAAAATGTAACAATGTAGTATCAATACCGATATTGACATTATTGATGCCATAGTCACATTACTAAAAAGAAATTAATTTATTAACAAAAGATGGACATTGAAAATTATGAGCCAAAATGTTAACCCTGAACTTATTGTCAGTACAAAGTTATTGTAGTTCGATTTTGTAATGCGATGTAAGGGAAACTTTCTCGACTGTGATGGACATTACCCACAAGCCCAAAATACCCATCTCATAAGAGAATGTGGAGTGTGGGGACAATGGCATATGTACACATAGCCATGTGAATATATGTTTCCTCTAGCCATATATAGTTGGATTTTGGGCTTGGTGAGACCACATTCCGTTTTCTTTTCTTCGTTAACTGCAAAATATCTCAAACTCCAATTATCTCAAACTCAAATTATTAGTGTGTTCTGATTTATACAGAAACCCTACACAAATGGAGCTATGCTAAAAGCAATATCACAATTTCATGGACATAACACCTCACAACGTGTGATTGGGCTAATTTACATGGTAGCCATCATCAGCTGCTGAATGACGTACCAAATCTACGGTATGGTAGCTTTTGACATTATGAATATCAAGTACACGGCCAGTTGGAAGAAGGAGAGATGCCTGAGATGGCTTCAGATATTTATTCGCCTTCTCTTCGGAGGACTGACTTTTTTTTTAATATCAGTAGCATTTACATTCCTGGGAGACCTATTACCTCTCATTGGAGGGTTTGTATCAGTACCTTTGACAGAAACCACGTCTTACAAACATGGCACTTGGATGCTCTGGTCTTCTTTTGAGCCTTCTTATTGTTGCTGCAATAGCGTGGAGTTTAGGTGTTAATGGCCTAAATGCCAACTTCTTCTAGCCTTCCTAAGAAAATTTTGTAAGCGGATAAACTGATACTTTTGATCAGTCTTTTTTGCTGAATTTTACCAACTCAAGTAATTGACAACTACTTTGCTTGCATCACCCATGCAATAAACTGTCTTTTTAATATGATTGGTATTTCCTGGTATGCGAATTGACATGAATTATATCTGACCATTACTGTATCAAACACTATTAACGCAGGGTCTTTTAACATCTATTAAAATAATATAATATATAATTATGTTTTGGGCCGAAGAGATGGGCCTGGAAAGAGCCTATTAAAGAATAAGAAGATCAAGACACTAACATAGGGGAGTCTTGATGACAAAGCGCCACTACGAGAAAGAAAGACGACCACCATCAAACGACCACTCAGAGCCCTGGATTATCTATAAAGAAGAAGAGACGAGCGCAGAGCTTACAGTACTTTCTGACCGCTCAATCTAATTGGCAGACTCGACAAGTTTTTGGCCAGAGATCTAGAGATAGGTCTATTTGGACGTCAACTAAGAGTTATATGTTGGTCATCGACATGAACAGAAGTCTATGAACAGTCATAAATACTGCCAGACCTAGTGCTCAAGTCAAGTGTTTTTCAACCATTCTCTAACGAGCTTTGTGCTTGTCAAGCATCAACCTGGGAAATCATGTAGTAGCTTTGTGTAAATGTCACTTCCACTTCACATGTCAAGCGGATAGTGGAGGAATAGCTTATAAGTCCCATTTGTGTGTTCGGCCCATTAAATGGTAGGGCGATGAGAAAGTTAAGAGCCGAGGATTTTAAGGGCTCACTTAAAGTTTATATAAAGAGGCCAAGGACCCCTTATAAGTGGTCTGATCCATGAGACGAAAATTTCATTACATTGTTGTAAAGTGCTCTTACAATTCACATCACATATATGTCAGATCACTATAGTGTACCTAGCCCATTTTTAGAGGTGAACTACTTAAATTATTTTTTTTCATAATCTAGCTTACATTCCAAGCCTACTAAGAGTTGACCATACTGGTTTTTGTCGACTTCTAGTTTTGAACATTAACAAATACATGTAAGTATTAAAGCCAATACCCTAATTAGTTATATGCTGCAAACAAGAAGGTATCAAAATCAAGTGTTGTTACCAATCCACCTGTTATAATATGGTTGGGCAACATGATTGGTATGTCATGGACTCAAGTATAGTATGGATTGGTAGCACAATGTGACAATCACCAAAAATTTCTTGATAATTGACTTTTCAAAAGTACAAAAGATAAGTTTATACACACATATTAAACTGTGATTTGTCTATAAAGAGAAAAGTACTTGTTGACAAGTATTTTCCTATCCATTATTCATGTAATACGAAAATTTTCTAACCTGAGTAAGACCCATGTTAATTCCAGCAATTTAAGTGTACTCTAAGAGAGCTTGAGACGTATAAATTTTTTCTTGTCTTGGATTTCAGACCAAAGTTTAAGAAAATTGAGATTCACTTGGATTGGAGGTTTGACGCATGTTCAGTTCGGAAAAGAGTTCGGCAATATGCTTTGATTAGCTAAATCAAGATTAAGAAAATTAAATATGACTATTTTAGTCTAAAAAGTTAGCTTCCCAACCCAAACACCGACCAAAACATGCATGTGATTATTTTAAGCGTACCATTAATCCCTTTTAATCTCCTGATCTCAAAAACCATGCACGAAACTCTTGATAACTGCAGAATCCTGCACACCGTCCACACGGACCTTCTGAGTTTTCTCCTCTCCAATGCAAATGTTACGTTTCTTTTCGTTTTTTAACCACGTAAGGAGTCTTGGTACATTTCATAGTTGCTAACAAATCTTGAAGCATTTCTTTATAAATACCAACACCCATCTGCTCTTAAAACATGCGTGAAAGAGCAGTGTTAACTAATCGCCATTTCCAACTTTAGATAAAGTTCAAAGCTTTCTTTCCATTCGATTACACTTTCGTGTTTGCTAGCGTCAACAAGTATGGCAGATCAGTACCCGAAAGCAAGTCAGACGCAATCAAAGGGAGCAGAAGAAGAAGCTCAAGGTTGTGGGATATTTGATTTCTTGAAGAAGAAGGACAGTGAAGAGAAACCCCACCAGGAGCAAGAGCAGCACAAGCACACTACTCTAGCTGAAAAGCTCCACCACCATGGCGGTGACTCTAGCTCGGTGAGCTGTCGTTGATTTTGTTAACATAAAACTATACTCTCAAACAATTAGTATCATGACTAACTGTTTGATGCACCATATAAGCATTTTTTCGGTAGATATTTTCACTCAGTTTTCTCCATCTACACTTCTCCCAATGTTTTCGTGCATTGATTCTCCGTGATGTTTTGGTTCTTTCTGAACCTAGAATTAGTGTATCCAAAGCTTATCAAAAGGTTCACTTCTTTTTTAGCTTCAAATGCAGAACATGCTTAGTCATTTTTCTTTCTTTCAAGAATCTGATTTTCAATCTTTACTGATAAACTATATGTTGCTTATTTTCCCAGTCTAGCAGTGACGGAGAAGGTGGAGAGAATAAAAAGAAGGGACTTAAGGGTAAGATCAAGGAGAAGGTATCAGGCAACAAGGAAGAGGGAGATGCTTACCATGCATCCGTTCCAGCAAAGAAGGGACACAGTGGTGAGAAGGGATTTGTAGAGAAAATTAAAGACAAGCTTCCAGGACAGCACAAGGAGGCCGAAAATGTTGCTGAGGAGAAAGGATTTGTAGAGAAAATCAAGGACAAGCTTCCGGGACAGCACAAAGTGGCTGAACACGGTGCTAGGGAGAAGGGATTCGTCGAGAAGATCAAAGAAAAGCTTCCGGGACAGCACAAGGAGGCTGGACATGGCGCTCATGCGGAGTATCACGCTCCGGATGGGCATTCCCACGACAGCGAGCCAAAGAAAGGGGTCTTGGAAAAGATTAAGGACAAGCTACCTGGAGGTCACAAGAAAGAAGAGGAGAAGCACAAGGAGTATTAGCATGAATCATGCAACCAATAAAAGATGCAGTAGCTTTGATGTTTGCCTGTAATGTGTTTGTTTTAGGGTTTTAGGGTCTTCTGTACTTGTACAATTGTTTGCTTGTTTTGTCTTCTGTTTTTAGGGTTTTTGTACTTGTATGTTTACTTGTAATGTGTTTTATATTTATGATCCTTCATCCTTTGTACTAGTAAAAGTGTTTGGTGGTTTTTTTTTTTCTTTCCTTTTTTGGATAAGAAATATTAACTACACGAAGGGGAGGAGGTTGGACTTGATTTCACAATGGGCTAGCAACATATGGTACAAATTCGTTTTAGGCGAGAATCGAACTTAAGACCTCTCACTTACAAGTGAAGAGGAATACCACTAGACCATATTATTAAGTGGCTCTTCATACGCTTTTAGCATTTAGTTAAATTTCTACATGCAAGTCTTCTATGTTCTATATATTTACCTTCTCGCTCGTTTCTCCATTAAAAAATATTTATTTATGCTCTTAAATAAGGACATTTTATTTTCGGGAAGTAATCCAGTGATCAAAACCGTTCAGCTTTTGAATTCCTTTCTTAAGAATCATTCATATAAAAAATTAGACAACTAATAACTGTTGAGCTATTTGATATTCGTAGTTTAGTTTTATTAAATGAACTGCGTTTTGGCACGTTTTAGATGACAATGGATAACCATTGAAGGAGAGCTTAAAATAGATAGTTTATATCATTGAACTGCATTTTAAGAGTAACCTTAAGGATGTGCATACAACTCAGTGGCCTGCTGGACGCTGGAGATCGGGCAAAGATAATTGATCTTTTGCACGAGTTCAATGACTATTTTGCATGACGCTACACAGAGATGCCTAGATTAGACTCCAGTTTAGTGGAGAACATAATGCCTATTAAGGAGAGGCGTAAATTTGGGAAGCAAGCGCAAAGGAGGATGTTGAAAGAGATAAGAGAAAGTCAAAAGGAAATCGAAAGGCTAGTAAAGGCAGGCTTTATTAAATCTACAAAGTATGTAGAGTGGTTGGTCAACATTGTACCTGTATTAAAAGTTGTAACTAATGTCATTCGATGTTGTGTTGACTATTGAAACATTAACAAAGCAACTCCCAAAGATGAATACCCTATGCTTATGGCTGACTTGTCCATTGATGTAGTTGCAATACAAAAAGTTTTATCTTTTATGGATGGGAATGCTAGATATAATCAGATAAAAATGGCTAAAGAAGACATATATAAGACAACATTTAGATGCCCAGGACATATAGAAACTTATGAGTATGTAGTCATGCCATACGGGCTGAAAAATGTTGGCGCTACTTATCAAAGGGAAATGAATGTTATCTTTCATGATTTAATTAGGCATAGCATGAAGGTATATATTGATGACATCATGGTGAAGTCCAGAACTGAAAATCAACACCTAGAAAACCTCAAGCAAGCCTTGCTGAGGGTGAGAACCCATAAGTTGAAAATGAATCCCAGGAAATGTGTTTTTGGGGTTACATCGAGCAACTTTCTAGGGTTCCTGGTCCATCTTAGATGTATGGAGATAGACAAGAATAAAGCTTGGGCTATAATGGAATCACCTTCCCCCACCAATAAAGTGCAATTACAGAGGCTGCTTGCTCGAAATGTAGCTTAAGAGGGAGAACGGAGGTGGTAAGAAGTCCCATACTGGACAAAGTTAAAGAAGGGGACTAGGATTGCCTGCCTGAATCCCAGTTGCATACCATAGAAATTGGGATGATGAACTTCCAGCCTGCGCTCATAGCCCGCTCGGTTGCTCTGGAATCCCCAGGCCAAGTCTTATTGCTGGATGTAGTTGATGAATTTCTCCTTGCAAGAGCTGCTGACATCCTCCCCAAAGGAGTCTTGGAAGAGTTAGTCTGAGAACCAAGGGTATCTCCTGAGCGTGAAGGCACCCTACTCTAAATCAGCGCGAGTTCGACAGATTTTGAAGAAGTAGGGACAGACTAAAGCGGAGTGGTTAGTAGTAAAAGCCTCAGTCAGAATTCGGGCAGGAAGTGCTCCCTCAAGGAACTCCAAATTGGCAGCCTGAAACTTTGGGAAATACCATTGAAGCTAGAGCTGCACCATCTAGGTAGCTTCATTAGCATTTATCTCGAAGGGCTGGGCCTTTGTCATCTCATAGAGGAGTTGGTAGAGTTGCGCCAGAATGAAGGGCCCAATGGCAATATCATCCAAAAAGTGCGGCGCCTTCACTAAAGGGATCCACTCCAGCTTTACTCTTTTGGATTTATTGAGGAACATATGCTTATTTAACCAATAAAGGAGAAAGTACATGTGTTCCTGAGCAAGGTCAGTACTGAAAGAGGGTGGACTAAACATCTTCTTAGCAAATAGGATAAAGCCTATAAAGGAGGTCTTATAACTCTTGAAGGTAGTGGAGTTGTACTCCAAACTGGTGATGGACTTGGAGGCCTCTGAGCTTTCAGTAGTCGGGCGAGAGGGGAGGACTAGTCGTGTGTGATGTCCACACACCTACCCGATGGCCTCAGACCAAAAACTTGAGCCATATCCAAGATGGTGGGAGTTATGGAACCCACTTTGAAGTCAAAAGTATTGGTCCCGTTGTTCCAGAAGAAAAAAAAAAGAGTTATTGAGAGAAGCTCGTCGTTGATACAGACAGTGGTCTTAGACATCATGATAAGCTCATAGATGTCATTTGTCATCCACTTTTGCTTCCAAATAGGCTCCAATTCAGCCACCCACTGCGACCATGCTTCATCCTTCATCAAAGGAAAACCCCTCTTGAAGTTAGACCACTTGGAGGCAGAGAGTCCAACCTCAGCAGAGAGGTTAGGAGTAAACCAGTTAACATCGAGCATGTTACCTTCCATTGCAACAGGGACTCCGGCAGTCCAGCGGGCCCTAGTGAGTGTACCTTCTTCCTCGAAGAAGATAGACAAATTCAGGCCAGCCCGAGGACGATGGAGGTCATTGAGCCGACAGTGCAAGTTGACGATTCCTTCTCCAGACTCGCATGCAGGGCACGATTTGGGAGCCATTGTTGAAATCGAGATGAAGGAATAAAGGGTCACTAGAAATTAAGGCTAGAAAGAGCTGAGAATGCAAGAGATTTGAGAGCTTAGAAAGTCGAGTTGGTTGAAGAAGATGACTGAGAAAAGTGAAGTGGAAGTTATTTAACGGGCAGGTAGTTAAATTTTAGATATCATGAGTTATTGCAAAGGTTTATTCAAAACGGCTAATTAAGTGGTGCTAATACCCAGTTTCAACATGCAATTAATTTTAATCATTATCAATGTCTTGTTTAGCATACTTAACAATGATTAAAAGGGGCATTGTTTGGGTGGATATTTAACACTAGGCTTTGTGACAATGGAGGCCCAAGAACACAAAAATAAAGAGAGGACTAGGCTCAGACAAGTTGATGGCCTAAGAAGAATTAAAAACCATTTGAACAAGGCATAGGCAACATGCCTATGTGAGAAGTGATAAGCGACATGGGGGCAGCTCACCGTCAGCAAAAAACACTTTTCAAGGGTATAGATGGGTAAATACATGGTGACTCACCATTCTCCAAAGGCTATCAGCAAAAGGCAAAGCTTAGAATGTCGGGCTAAAACATCTATAAAAGCAGCAAGAGACACTAGAGACAAATACACTCAACCAATCAATCAAAAGACATCTAAACTTTGCTCTCAAACAAGAAAGAAACCAAAATGCTGCATTTCTTCCAGACTCTGCCTTTTTAGTCATAGATCCCCCATAAAAAGCCATCTCTTGTCAATTTTGGAAGCTTTGCTACCTTCCCTTAGTACTGTAGTATTGAATCCCTTTAGGAAACCTTATTTACATTTCATTTTCTAGAGTTTACAAACCCCTGTAAACACAAAGAGAAGTGGTTGCAAGAAGTTAAACCTTGCCCGACAAAGTTAATATCTTGCCCGAGTCTTTTTTGTTTCTACTTACATAAAGTAGATCTGTTGTTTAATGCATATTCCATTATGTTTTCAAATCACTTTCAACTATCTTTTGTTCAAAGTCTCATATGTGATCAATATGGCCAAACTAATTAACTTTACGTCTTTAAGTGTTAACTGTAATCAAAAGAATGGTTGGAAAGGCCTTGAACCCTCTTCATTTTAGACATACAATATTATGAGTAAAAGTTCTTGCTTAGAAGGCAAGAAAAACAACTTTATACAAACTTAACCCATCTGTGACAATCTAATAGAATCAAGAAATCTAAATAACTTGTGTCGCAAGCAATCAACCCAACTAATAACTAATAAAGAACAGTCTGTTATACAAAGATAACAGTGACACGCTCAGACCCATGTTAGATTTGATTGTGAGCCTCAAGGCCTAACAAAAAGCTCCACAAAGGCACCGTTCAAACTAACAGCAAACCCATATTGTAGCACACCAAACAGCAAACCTTGCTCGACAAGCAAGAGCCACGGGGAGCTGTGTGAGGGACAAATCCAACCTACACAAGAGCACATTCAACTGACAAAGCACTTAGCAATAGAAACCTACTCGTGCAACTTTAGCATGATTTTTCCCCTTATCTTCATTTTGGGCAAGAGTGCTAGTGGATATAGGAAGGGAGCAACATGTTGCAGAAGAAGATAATAGGTAGAGCCAACAACCCACTAAAAGATTGCCTTAGTTTAAATAGTCATGAGAGTAGTGGCGTCTTAAGTGGACCATCACGTTAGTATGCTAATCTTGAAAGTTTCCACGCCAATAATTTTTTGAGTCCAGATCTATCAAAGGTTCGGCTTGTTTTTCCCTTACCCCTTAGCGTTATGGGCCCCTGATAAAATATAGAAACCCAAAAAAAAAACAAGGAAAATAAGAGAAACTGGACCATGTTTTTCGAGAAAGGCTGCCTTTTCTCATGCCAGGAATCTTCTACTTCTAGTCCTTGCTCAATGACGGGCTTCCCAGTTTCTAAACTTTACTCGCTGGTATACAACACCACCACTTTTTTGTTCATAACGAGGGAGAGAGAGAATGAAGTTCTTCATGAAGTTCGAGACAAAAGAATAAAAAGAGTTTCTCTATGACCTTTTCATTTTGAGACATTATGATTTTGGGAACTAGTTTCCTCTACCCCTAGGACCCTTCCCCCTTGCCCTTCTTCAAGTTTCCCAAGATGTTCTAGAACCAACTTGAGGATGAGGCAAAGCGGAATCTAATGCGATCCTGTGCATACAAGGCGATGGATCACGCCTTGGAATGATAAAGCAAAGTTATTCTAGTCCGAAGTCTTGTTATCAGGAAAGGGCTTTTCTTGCCTGTTGTTTTCTTTGCATGCTTTTGCACATAATACATATATAAAAAAACAAGTGACATATTCTAAGAATCGAATGCGCTTGTTTGGTTGCAAGCAAGTAATTCCTTTACCTGGTGAGAGTGAAAGATGAAGCCATAGGCTACGACTGGTAAATTTATCGGTCATCAAATTAAGTAACTTGTCGCCCGTTCGCTCTCTGTTTAACAAAGACCATCAATATAAACTCACTTCTTTATAAAAATCCACCTCTCATTTTTAATTGTGGATCATAGGGATGGCAACTTTATCTGATCAAGGGCCAAGGCACAAGGGTCCTTGTACTATCCAGGTGCGAAGAACCCTGGACATGATTGCATAATTGGGCAACGTACTTTGGTGTTGTGTTGGTGGTTACTTGATTGGTGGAGAACACCTCTATGTAGTGCCCACCGCTCTCCCGATCAAAACGAGCATGCGGCACGGCTAATACTACTAATCTAACAAGTGAAGTCGTCGTCGTCGTCGTCTGGCCAATTGGCTTGGACACCACGGCCAATTGTCTATATCGTTAAAACTCAAAGTTTTCAAGTCATTTTTTTATTAGTTTTTCTTTTAAATTAATTAGCTAGTTACTTTGCTTCGTACCTTTTCCATTTTGGCCCCTGTAGCTGCTCATTTCGGTTCTTTCCAAAGTCCTTCCAGTGTCTAGCATCTTCCGCTCCTATTAATCCCACCAACTCATTTTCGAGAAGCCTTCGCTAACAACAAGAATAGCTTGTTGGATGGATGTTGTTGCCGCATAGTGAGCTTGGCCACTGGATAATTCCCTAGCGCTCAAGTCAAGGTAAGGTAGGAATGTTCGGGCTGAGCAAAGATTTTAAAGTTCAGGCTTACTTCTGAACTAACCAAATCATGCAGAACTTCATCGAGAAAGAGATGCTGCTTGAGACATCAAGATAATCTAAGCAGTTAAATTGGTACAATTAATCCACACTAAGAGATCCCCTAAAAAATTACAAGTGATAAACAGAGTATATCATTCAGTCGTACACACAATAGTCTGTCAAATTAGAGTGCTTGCCTAGTGTGCTTCCTCTAAGGGTGACAGAACATCTGATTCTCTCATAAAACTTGGACTTCACTAGTTTTCCCAAAATGTCGGCTCTTGACCTCACAACGAACGTCAGATTCAGTGGTATTACCACTCTCTGCTGATCCTCTTTAACATGTTGAATATCTGAAATTCCACCGTAAAGAGCCACTTGGTACCCTAGCACAACCGTCCTTATTGTTCGATGCGTCTTCCTTGCTTGGTAGAAGTTTTCAATCTGTTTCATTTCATCGGAAAAAAGGGTCTCAGTTAAATAATCAATAAGGGTCATAAGGACGACCAAACTTGCTGCAAACTGACCAAAAAAATGCTTCAAGCTAGGTAGTGATCTTGTTATCAGTTCTGAACATAAATGGCGATCATTAAAAGCAGTACTTCCAGTTAACCCTTTTAATTTCTTGATTTATGTACTAATTCCTATGTTTTCATGTACATTACTTGCATTACCTTCCATCCAGTTTATTGACCACCAAAAAAATAAATAGCAAACAGGGGTATCTCTTTGGCAATGCCGAACTATCAAATGACTTGAGCTACAAGATAAGAAAGGCCATGTCTTCAGAAGTTGGAATCATCACCCGGCTTTTGGTGGTCTTTTAAGACTTTTACCAATTAAAAGATGAACAAATAGCTAAAAAGTGGATTCTGATTCTCCAATCTCCATTGAAATCCGTCAATCTTTGGAATTTAACCTACTCTTATGTTTGATTGCAAGAGCATATATAGTAATGCATATAGATATTGCATAGAAATATGAAAATTTCAAACTAATCGAGTAGTTTTGATCATGGTTATCCCAAATGAAGAAAACTCTACTTTAGTAGGTTTTTGACGTGAACACTATATCGCCATCTGTTGTTACCAACTCAGATGCAATAACATTAAGCCCTAAACAACCCACCTCATAAAGAATTTGCTTTAATGATTTTATTCAAAACGAACACATACTCTACATGTCATTCTTTTTTATTGTCTGACCTATAACAATATATTTATAAACATTATATCTCATATCTATGAATTTTTTTAGTGTGACTATTAGTGTCATATATTCACGTTTACAATTTACATCTACACTATGAGTATTACGTCGTGAATCTTTAATCAGTAACATCACATAACAACTCGGATCACTCTAGACTCACAACACAACCATTTTCTTATATTCATTGTTTTTGGTCAAACCATTTTCACATTTAACCTAGCAACATTGAGCCCACGCGTCCCCACAGAGATGTTTGCATTAAAGGTGTTGGGGTTTTCATGCTCTGGCAGAACACACAGCTTTTCAGTCACCCCAATAAAGACGATTAAACCTTCAACTGCTGTCCCAACTCCCGACGTCTGCTGTTTTGACCCCACACCCACACCCCCATAAAACTCAAACCGTATTATTTCGGAAAGAGATGCTTTTTTCCATCAAAGTTATCCGTTCAAATAATTCGAATCCTTCAAATTATATTCAACGATAAAAAATTATAATAATTTTTACAAAGTTAAAACAGATGAATCAAAGAATAAAATTTGAAAAACTTGAATCACTTAATTTGATAGTCTTTGTAGAAGAAATTCAGTGAAGATCTATTTTCTATTATTTCCATTACAATAGTTTAAATTTTAAAGTTTCTGTCACTTTACTCTACATATATTAATTTTTTAAATTTTTTTAGCAGAATGCAATGACAATGTTCGTTACTTTATTTATATCTATCAATATAAATATCAAAAAATAAACTTATCTAACATAAGTAAACAGTAAAAATCAACACCACCTAGTTATAGTTAACAAAATATTCTCATAATATATAACCAGCAAAGTACAAAACCCATTAACGTTGGAACTCAATCATATCTAAAGTTTAAGATAAAATGACCAGATTACCCATCCACAAACATGCATTTATTCATGTTCCCCGTAGTTATCGACGGTAAAAATGGACATTACGCACCTGCCCGGACGCAACCTTGAGCTGGTAATAGTGGAGCTCCAATGGAGTAGAAGTGACGTGGACGCCGAAGAATGTCGCCGGATTCCTGTAAGAGATCCTAACCGTCGAATTCAACGACAGCAATTCCGTCGACACCCCCGTCCTGTCGCTCCCCGCCTGTATATTGAAACTCTCGAACACAATATTCTGCTCCCCCCAAAACAAAACGCCGTCAGTCAAATCAAATCAAATCCCCGTCAAGCGAGTCAACTCGGTCCATTACCGTGTAAAGAAATTAAACAAAGTGATTCCGGCATGCTTTCTTTTCTCTACATTCACACTCTGTTAATTTTTGAATATTTTAATTAAATAAATTAAAAGAAAATCAAACAACTAATCGTCTCATTTAAGTTCTTGTTAAATAAAAAATATATTTTTCTTATATTGATTAAATAAATTAAAAGATAATCAAGTAACATAAATAAATAGAACATCTTTTTAGCACATTATTCATGTTTATTTTTGTTATTTTAATTAAATAAATTACAGAAAATTAAGTAACCAGAAAACGTTAAAGAAAACTAAAGTGCGAAAATCATTTATCGGTAATTACCTTAACAATGACTCGAGGCTCGTAAGCCTTGCTGGCGCCCCACAAGATCAAAGAAAACACCGTGAAGAGTACAACGAACAGCAGCGCGAAGCAGAAGTACAACCTAATATTACGCGCTGGGCCGCCGTCGTCGACTGCGGAGTCACTTTCGTTGTCTTCGGACAATTCCACTTCGTCGCCGCGCTGCAGCTTCCGCCAGGCGGACATGCTGCGGGGGTTTTTCAGGGAGGCGGAGAATCTCGACGTGGAGGACTCGCGGGAGTGGTGCACAGGGGAGCAGTGGTAGTAGTGGTGCTGCGGCGAGCCGATGGGGCTCGAACCGTAAGACATCTTATCGACGTCGTGGTTGGAGGGGCTCTGGACGTAGTAAATCGGGCGGCGAGGCGACCGCGGGGGCGTCGACTGCTCCACGCTCATCGTCACATCCGAATCCGACTTTTGGTGCATTATTGTCCGTCGTTCGGGTGCGTTAGTGTAATTTTGGTAAAGTTCTGGGCGGAAACGAAGGGACAGAGATCTTCAGTCTTCACTCTTCGTTTCTGATTACTGCGGTATCGTTCGTTGTTTTAGTTTTGGAAGACAAAGGGAAGGACTTGGTAGTGTGCGTTTGTTCACGCCTGTTTATATTGGCAGGTATCTGCCGTTGGATTTGATCTGACGGTGAATATGAGGTGATCTTGGGTGCACATTCTTTAAGGAAGTTTGCTTTGGTGGTATGAATGCATGCTGAGGGCGAAAGGATGAGGTTTTTGGTAAGATGACAGAAAGTGGCTAGGTCCGCCTTAATCAACCCCCTGTTTTCTGTGAATTTGTTAACTCTTCCGGTTCTTACTAAACGTGCAAATTAATTAATCTCATTACCTTATGAAGAATGTAGTTAACCGAAGTTAATGTTTGTTCATAATAAAAACCAAAGTTAATTGGACCACATTATCACGTTGAGATGTATTTTTCGACTGACGCTGTTAAGTTTTTTATTTTATTTTATTTTATTTTATTTTTTTTAAGGGATCAGCCGATGGTTTAGTCACGATAGTCCATCTTTTAGAAGGCAAGATTCACAGAAGTATTTTAGCCTCTATCTAGTCATCATTGTGTGATTTATCAATGCCAGGAGTCAAACTCATATGTTTTGCCAACAATAACCTCATTTTCTTATGAAATACTATGAGCATTAGAATTTCAGCAGGTAGCGAAACTGAAATCAATGGACGCAATAGATCATTTGGATATCACAATAGACAGCTAAAAGTGCCAATAATTACCGAGGAAAAATGATACGCCAATCAACTTTCGGATTCTTTTTTTTTATATATTATTTCAAGATATTTCAACTTCGAATACCTCTTCATTAATTAAATATAAATGAAAAAAAAAAGTAGAAGATTTTGTTTCTATGTTCTCTTTTTTCTTCTACCTTAATGGGAGAAAAGTGAGAATGAAACTTTTTTTGCCTTTTCATTAATTAAAAATATATGAAAATAAAAGGTAGAAGATTTCGTTTTTATGTTCTCTTTTTTCTTCTACCTTATTGAGAGAAAGGTGAGAATCAAACTTTTTTTTATAGTAAAGATAAATGAAAGTTCATTCCTTCAAACTTTATATGCCCTCTGATGAAATCATCTGTAACAGTGGAAGGCTATATTTTGGTCGTGTAATTCTTATTTCCTTTTTCAATATGTAGTGTCGGCTATTTTTTTTCATCTCTATCAATATAAGGCTAAATATTTGTATTTTTGTGTATAAAAAGTGAGGAGAGAAGAAAAAGATAGAATCTCCCTCTTGCTTCACAAAAAAGCTTTGTGAAAGGGCTAAATATAGCTCGCTCTAGGGCTACAAGTAGTGAACTATACTTTGTGGACCTGGTTTTTCTGTCCTTCCACTTCTCATACACTTTCATCCCTCCTATTTGTACGGTCACGGTTAAGCCACGTCAACATTCTATATTACTATTGTTTTTTGTCTTATTATCTCTATAAAAAAATTAGTATAAAATATTGACGTGATTTAACCATGACAATACAAAATAAGAGGAGATAGGAGTGTTTGAGAAATGAGAGGATAGAGAAGCCGGGTCCATACTTTGTAGCCAACCTTGCCTGTTAACTAGAAAATAGCCCTTTTACTAGAGATACAGATGGTTATTGAAAATTATAGGCTATACTATGGGATTTGGCGCTCACATAATTTTACTATTGTTTTCATGAAATGGTCAAATGGTCAAATAGTCAAAAGTCATGAGTTTTGCGATTGTAAGACATAATCCCTTCACTATTATATGTATTTAAACCACTTAGTACTACGATTTTATGATATTTTTTTTACGTGTAAGTTAAAGTTTTAATTTCGATTCTCATCCAAGGTAAATTTGAATCACATTATTGTCAGTTTTTTATGAGGCTAAACCTACACTTAAACTTAAAATTTTTAACCCATAAATGATTTTTCTTCTCCAATCCTTATGAGTTAAATTTTTAATCCGAGATTATTAAAGAATGAATTTAGAATATTTTTTCTTCTTAAAGTTACTTTAAAAAAAAATTATGTAGACTTTCCTAATTTAATTTTATGAATATTATAACCTAAAAATATTTAGATTCTGATAAATATTGAAAAATCACTAAACCAACACCATAAAACTGGTGAAACACTATGAAAGAATATAAAACACATAAAATAAATTTTTTTTAATTACTTTAGCCGTTGAATTTAAATTTATACCGGTAGATTTTTTATTTTTTTTACCTTTGGATTTAATCATATTAGATTTTAGCCGTTGAATTCAATTGATTTATAAAAATAAAACTAAAAAAAGTACACATATATGATGGCCAGCCCTATTAAGTTGGGGGGGGGGGGGATTCTAGGCTAAATTTGTCTCAGAAATGAGTTTTGACAAAAAACTCATATTTGCCCCAAGGGTAAACTCATATTTGCCCCAAGGGTTGGAGTAAGTTGGTGTAAGTTTAGAACCTAAAATTTGAGTTTTACTCCAAGGGTTGGAGATCGTCTTAATGCAAATAATATTGTGTGTTAAAAAAAATTATAATCATCATCTGACGATTAGACATAGTTTATGTGAATATATGTATTTATTACAATCACCATCTTACAGTTACAATATCTTGAAGTTACGGGGCTATTTTGCCAAGTTCCTTAGAGAGAGTTGTCTCGCACCCCTAGGTGTTCTCTACCTACCCACTTGTGTTGATTTCAAGTACATGTACACTTTTGTTGAAGGTCATTCGAGCTTTTCCTCGTAGGCTGGCATGAGTTACTTCAGCGCTGTGGCGCTTGGTACTCGAACATTAGCTCGACCCTTCTTTTAAATTAGGGGCACCCCGCCCTACCCTTTTTAGTACTCCTTGAGCTAATTTTTCATTGTTTTGGCGCATTAAGCCCAGGAATACGTTTATTTGCTAATATGATGGCCAATCATAGTTCAGTAAAGATTTTAAGTGGGATCACTTGGACTATGCTATGTATGAATGATCTTTTATTTTTTTTATAGGAGATCCTAGTAGACTTGATCATCAGATTATAGATTATAAGTTCATAACCCTAGACCACTCCCATTTTTGGCGTAGTAGATCTACAAATTCTTTGATTCCAAAAAGAGAAAGTTTGAAAAAATTGAATTTTTTTGAAGATTGGATGCAATTACTAATTCATGATTTAGCATTTACATAATGAAAACTTCATTCTCGATTCCCCCGCCCTTTTTGAAATATCATGAACAGTTTTTGTAGGTTGAGCACCTTTTTCAAGGAAATATAGAATAGCAGGAACATTTATATAGATTTGATTCTTTAGCGGATCATAAAAATTCATGTTTTGTTCTCTATTTCTATGATAGGGGTACTCGAAGGGGGTTCATATTTGTTAGCTAAGAGGGGTTTGCTCTTCTTTTCTTTGCTCTTGTTGGCTACCATTACTTCTTTCTTGTGTTAGCGCTCGATTTTGTTGGTACGATCCAACTGAATCCAATTCAATTGTTTACTTATTCAATTTCAGACTTGAAAAATTCAACCAAATTTTCAAAACATTGTGTATAAATAAATTCTTTGATAAAGTCTTTTATTTGCCTATCATTATAAACAAGACCTTCCATATTATCTATGGAATTCAAATTTGAACCCTATAAATCACGATTTGTTGTTTTGGCATTAAAAGCGTTTTCTCGTAATTATAAGACATTGGAGGAAGGTGGGTTTTTTTGTTTTGTTTTTTTTTTTTTCTTCAGTTTGCAGAGTCTAAAGTTATATTTTCAGCTATTAAAAAGTGAGGTGGTTTTTTTTTTTCACCAAAAGAAATGAGTGCTATTGGACCCACCCTAGTGTCGTATTTTCCCACCACATGATAATTTAGGAATATGATTGTGTAAATCTTATCATATTTGGAATATCGTTATTGGATTCTACCATATCTCTTAGACTAAATATTATTCTATTAAAGTTGTGATCCTATTAGGGTAAGAAATTTACTTTTCCTACTACTGTAAATAAAGTTACAATGGGGTAAGAAATTTACCTCACAATTAAATCTCTCTCTTCTCTCGGCCGCCCCCTTTCTGTCCTCTATAATTATTTAGTAAAATAAGCCTACAATACGATATCAGCACACTCTTGATGCTGCGCTATAGAGAGTTTGATCTTCAATCAGGAGAGTATTACATTTTTAATCATTCTTTTTATATGATTACTTTATTATTTTAATGAATTCATCTACATGCTATTGATTCAATTTAGTTTTTCTATGTTGAACATGATACAACGCATTAAATTAAGGGAAGATATTTGAAGATATTTAAAATAAGGATCTTCTACGAATTTGAAGGCTTTTATCGTTTTCTGCCAATTAGGTACACTTAAAATAAGGGAAGATATTTGAAACGACTATGAAGCATGAACCCCTTACATTTACATTTACCTTCCGATATATATTGTATATGACACGCCCCGATTGAAAGCAAGGCGTGCTGCCCATCACGTGAGGGTGACGTAGCCATGTGCACAGTGTGAAAGCAATAATAATATAAGAAATACGAATAAATAAAAACCAAACTAACTAAAGCACTAGATAAGATAAGTTGCAATACGATTTAAGTGTGAATTCACAACTAGAGAATAAGTAGCCTAGGTGCAGTCCAGCAGGACAAATACTAATTATACAACACCAAAGGTAATCCTACAATGGTGATAATCTGTTAGAGTTGTCGTGGATTCCTCACAAGCCACCAAAAGCACTCCTAACTAGAACCTAGAGGGGCACAAAAAAGAAAGTGAGTGGGCAAAAACAAAGCTTTTCAAAACCATCTCAATTATCAAAGATAGTAACCCCTTGTCGTAAAACCTGTATAATTTCCTAGAAAATAGAATATATACATAAACCACAACCATGCTCAGAATAGCAAAATTCACAAATATGCTATGTTAAATATCTCAGCATAAAAATATGTAAGCCAGGTGATATAAATTAATGCAAAATGATATGTCAACAGGAGTCACCTAACGTGACATGTACGGATGAATCTAAAGCTCATCCAACTTGCCAAAGTCACCTAACGTGACCTATATGGCTCAAATCCACATCTCAACAAATATACCTGCACACGAGTCGGAACCACCTAAAGTGGTCTGTACGACAAGACTGGTGTAAATAAATACGCTCAAGTACTACGATCACGTGAAAAATGTACGAATAATTGTGAGTCACCTACGAGTCGGAACCACCTATAGTGTTTTGTACGACAGGACTGTGCACTTAACTTGGATCCAAGGTGAGCGTATGGTGCGGGAGGTGAACATCACGTGAAGGATTATGCCCTAACCACAGACGG